CCAGCAGGTGGCCGGGAGCGGCCACTGCACTCCAGTCTGGGCGACAGAGTGAGACTCCAACTCAAAAAAAAAAAAAGAAGCTACTCAAAGAACAGCAATTTAAATCCAAGGTACGCAGAAGAAAGGAAATAATACAGATAAAAACAGAAATAAAAGAAATAAGAAATGGACAAATAGAAAAAAATTACTGGTCAGGCACAGTGGCTCAAGCCTATAATCCCAGCACTTTGGGAGGCCGAGGTGAGTGGATTGCCTGAGCCCAGGGGTTTGAGACCAGCCTAGGCAACATGGTGAGACCTCATCACTACAATAAATTAAAAAATTAGCCGGGCGTGGTAGCACATCCCTGTAGTTCCAGCTACTTGGAAGGTTAAGGCAGAACGATAGCCTGAGCCCAGCAGGTCAGGCTGCAGGACTGTGAGTGTGCAACTGCACTCCAGTCTGGGCGACAGAGTAAGACTCCAACTCAGAAAAAAAAAAAAGAAATAAAAATTACTGTGAAGTCGAGCTCAGTGGCTCAGCCTGTAATCTCAGTGCTTTGGGAGGCTGAAGTGAGTGGATTGCCTGAGACCGCGGGTTTGAGATCCGCCTGGGCAATTTGGCGTGACCTCGTCTCTACAATAAATCAAAAATTAGTCAGGTGTGGTAGTACACGCTGAGGCGGAAGGATCACTGGAGCCCAGCAGGTTGAGGCTGCGGTGGCTGGGAGCATGCCACTGCACTCCAGTCTGGGTGACAGAGTGAGATTCCAACGCAAAAAAAAAAAAAAATTACTGCGAAAGGATCAATAAAACTGATAAAACTCTACTTAGAATTATAAAGAAAATAGAGGAGAGAGAAGACACAAATTACCACTGTTGGGAATGAAAAAGACATCACCACAGATACTGTATACATTAAAAAGATAATAAAGAAGCTGGGCTTGGTGGCTCAGCCTGTAATCCCGCACCTTTGGGAGGCTGAGGTGAGTGGATTGCCTGAGTCCGCGGGTTCGAGACAAGGCTGGGCAACTTGGCGAGACCTCATCTCTACAATAAACCAAAAATTAGCCGGGCGTGGTAGGCGCACCTGTAATTCCAGCTACTTGGAAGGCTGAGGTGAAAAGGTCGGTGGAGCCCAGCAGGTTGAGGTTGCGGTGGCTGGGAGCAGCCACTTCACTCCAGTCTGGGCAACAGAGTGAGACTCCAACTCAAAAAAAAAAAGATAATAAAGAAATATCCTAAACAAAATGACAATTAATAACAATAAATTGGCAACTTAGATAAAATAAATTTTATTAAGACACAAATTAACAAAACTACTAAAGAAATAGAATATTCGGCTGAGCTCTGTGGTCAGCCTGTAATCCCGGTACTTTGCGAGGCTGAGGCGAGTGGATTGCCTGAGCCCACGGGTTCGAGACCAGCCTGGGCAACTTGGCAAGACTTCATCTCTACAATAAATCAAAAAATTAACTGGGTGTGGTAGCACGCACCTGTAGTTCTGGCTACTTGGAAGGCTGAGGTGGAAGGATTGCCAGAGCCCAGCAGGTCGATGCTGCGGTGGCCATGAGTGTGCCACTGCACTGCAGCCTGGGTGACAGAGTGAGACTCCAACTCAAAAAAAAAAAAAAAAATAGAATACCCAAATAACCCTATATCTACTAAAGAAACTGAATTCTTAATTAAACACAAGTTCAGATAACATACATCTTTGAGAAAGAATTAATATCACCGCTACACAAACTCTTTCATATACTAAAGAATAAGGGAACACTTCAGGCTTGTATTATGAGGCTTAACATTACCTTGATGTCAAAACCAAACAAAGAGGTTACAAGGAAAAAAACTGCAGACAGGCTGGACATAGTGGCTCACACCTGTAAACCTAGCACTTTGGGAGGTAGAGGCTAGAGGATTGCCTAAGCCCAGGGGTTCGAGACCAGCCTGGAAAACTTGGCAAGACCTCATCTCTACAATAAATAAAAAAATTAGCCAGGTGTGGTGGCACACACCTATAGTTCCAGCTACTTGGAAGGCTGAGGTGGAAGGATCACCTGAGCCCAGCAGATCAGAAGTGCTGTAGCCGTGAGCAAGTCACTCAAGTCTGTGTGGCAGAGTGAGACTCCAAAAGTGCAGACAAATTGGAAAGAAAGAAGTAAAATTAGCTTTATTCAAGGAGAGCAAGATTCTGTAGATGGAAAATCATAAATAATCTACACAAAAACTACTAGAACTAATAGCACAGGATAAAAGCTCAGTTATAAAAAAATAGTCAATTGTATTTTTATATGCTAGCAAAAAAGTTTGGAAAAAGAAATTCTAAAATTAACATTTACAATAGCACTGAAAATATAAATTTCATTAATTTAATAAATATGTGCAAAGTAGGTACACAAAAAACTATAAAACATTGCTGAGAAAAATGAAAGAATAGTCAAATAAATGGAGAGATATATAATATTCATGGGTCAGAAGTCTCAGTATTCTTAAGATGTCAATTATCCCCAAATTGATCTATAAATTCAAAGTAATTCCAATAAAAATTCTAGAAGATTTTTTGTAGAAATTGAATTCTGACTATAAAATATGTATGGAAAATTAAAAAACTTAAACTAGCCAAAAACACTTTTGATAAAGAAATTTGGAGGACCTACACCACTTCTAGATTTAAGAGTTACTGTGGGGGTGTGCACTCAGGCGGGGCGTGCTCGGCTAGCGTTTCCTGTGAGGCTGTGGCCTGGCCGCTGACCATGGTTGTGGCCCTGGAGGAGCTACAGAAAGATCTAGAAGAAGTAAAGGAATTGCTGGAAAAGGCCACTAGGAAAAGAGTATGTGATGCCCTCATAGCTGAAAAATCCAGGATTGAGACAGAAATCAAGAACAAGGTGCAACAGAAATCACAGAAGAAAACAGAAGTCCTTGACAATGAAAAATCAGCTGCCGTGGTCACTCCCATTACAACAGGATACACAGTGAAAATCAGTAATCATGGGTGGGATCAATCAGATAAGTTTGTGAAAATTTATATCACCCTAACTGGAGTTCATCGGGCTCCTACTGAGAATGTACAGGAGCATTTCACTGAGAGGTCATTTGGTCTTCTGGTAAAGAATCTCAATGGGAAGAGTTATTTCACGATTGTGAGCAATCTCCTGAAGCCTATCTCTGTGGAGGGCAGTTCCAAAACAGTCAAGATATACCGTTCTTATCTTATGTAGAGAGAAAGCAGAAAACACTAGGTGGGACTACCTGACTCAGGTTGAAAAAGAGTGCAAAGAAAAAGAAAAGCCTTCATATGACACTGAAACAGATACTAGTGAGGGGCTCATGAATGTTCTAAAGAAAATTTATGAAGATGGAGATGATGACATGAAGCGAACCATTAATAAAGCCTGGGTGGAGTTGAAAGAGAAGCAAGCCAAAGGAGATGCAGAATTTTGAGACTTTGAAGTCTTTTTGGGAATTGTGATGTGGAAATACTGATGTTTCCAATATGGGTATGTTGGTGAGCTGCACGTGCAAAGTACTATTTACATAGCCTTCTTCTAAGTAAAGGCTGTGAATTCTCCATTTTCTACTAGAGGATTTATGAAAAGAAAAGATGCTTATCAAAAATAAAAAATAAAAAAGAGTTACTGTGGAAGCCTGAGGTAGGAGGATCGCCTGAGTCCAGGAGGTGAGCCATGATTATGCCACTGCACTCCAACCTCTGTGATAGAGTGAAACCCTGACTCCAAAAAAAAAGAGTTGTCAGGTTACAGTAAGGCATCAAGACACTGAGGTGTCAATGAAAGGATAGATATGTAGCTCAATGGATGAGAATAGAGAAATAAGCCTGTGCTTTTTTTTTTTTTTTTGAGTTGGAGTCTCACTCTGTCGTCCAGACTGGAGTGCAGTGGCCACTCCCGGCCACCGCAGCCTCGACCTGCCGGGCTCCGGCGATCCTTCCGCCTCAGCCTTCCGTGTAGCCGGAATTACAGGCGCGCTACCACGTCTGGCTAATTTTTTGATTTATTGTAGAGATGAGGTCTCGCTGCCCAGGCGGGTCTCGAACCCGCGGGCTCAGGCAATTCACTCACCTCAGCCTCCCAAAGGTACGGGATTACAGGCTGAGCCACCGAGCCTGGCTAGCCTGTGCATTTTTAGTCAAACTGGTTTTCATGGTGCCAAGATAACTCATTGGGAGAAAATATAGTCTTTTTCACAAATGTTTGGCCAGATGCGGTAGTTCAAGTCTGTAAATCCCAGCACTTTGGGAGATGGAGGTGAGGGGATTGCCTGAGCCTATGAGTTCGAGAACAGCCTGGGTAACTTGGCCAGACCTCATCTCTATAATGAATCAAAAAATTAGCTGGGTGTGGTAGTGTGCATCTGTACTGGCTACTTGGAAGGCTGAGGTGGAAGGATCGCCTGAACCCAGCAGATCAACGCTGGGGTGGCCATGAGCATGCCCCTGCACTCCAGCCTGGGTGATGGGGTGGGACTCCAACTCAAAACAACAACAAAAACCCAAAACCAAATGGTACTGGATCCAATGAACAGCAATATGAAAACAAAAACCTTGTCACTCACCTCATACCACACACAAAATTTAACTTGAAATGAATCACAGAAGTAATTGTAAATGCTGATTTATAAAACCTCAAATAAAGAACACAAGAAAAGGTCTTTGCACAAACTTTGAAAAACGATAAATTAGCTTTCATCAAAATGTAAATTTCTGGGGCAACTCCCTCAGGTCCCCTCCCACTCTGGGAGCTTTCTTGTCCTCTCAATAAATCTTGCCTTCTATTAAAAAAAAAAAAAGTAGACTTCTGCTCTTCTAAAGTCATCATTAAGCCAATGAAAAGACTTAGTTGAGCATGGTGGCATGTGTCTGTAGTCCCAACTGCTTGGATAACGGAGGCAGGAGGATAGCTTGACCTGAGAATTAGAGGTTGCTGTGAGCTATGATCATGCTACTGACTCCAGCCTGGGAAACAGAGCAAGACTCTGTCTCAAAAAAAAACAAAACCAAAAAAAAACTGAGGACACAGAGGAACTGGAATTTTCATACACTGCCGGTGGGAATATAACATGATACAACCTCTTGGAAAATTATTTTTAATAAAGTTAAAATATACTTACTATACAATCCAGCAATGTCTCACCTAAAGAAATTAAATTCCTCCAGAAAAATGTAAAATATATCCACACAAAGACCAGTACATCAAAGTTCATAGCATCTTTATTTATAATAGCCAAACACTGGAAACAATCCAAATATTCATCAGTAGTAAATGGATAAACAAAATTGTGGTGTGTTTATATGATAGAATATTACTTGGCAATAAAAAGAAATATAACAGCATTGATGAATCTCAAAGACATTATGTGGAGCAAAGGAAGCAAGATACAGAGGCATACATAATGCACTATTCCACTGATTTGAATTTCTAGGAAAGAAAAATATTTTATTTATGTATTTATTTATGTGGGTCTAGGGCTCACTCTGTCATTCAGGCTGAAGTGCAGTGGCAAGATCATGACTCACTACAACCTTGACCAACTGGGCTCAGGCGATCCTTTCACCTCAGCCTCATGAGTAGTTGGGACTGCAGGTGCATACTACCACACCCAGCTAATTACAAATTTTTTTTTTTCTGTAGAGACAAAGTCTTGTTATGTTGTTCCCCAGGCTGGTCTTGAACACCTGGACTCAAACAATCCTCCCACTTCCCAAAGTGCTGGGATTACAGGCGTGAGTCATCATGCCTGGCCATAAAAATCTAATTTATATTGACAAAAAGTAGATCAGTGGTTTCCTGAGACAAGTGGGACTGACTGCAAAGGAGCATAAGAGAACGTTTTAGGGAAGATGAGAAATGTATAAATTTTTCTGAGGTATGTAACCATGCAAAGAATTGCCAATCATAGGATAGTTATATGTTTTCATTTTATGAGACCATCAGACCTTTCCCCAAAGTGGCTATACCAATTTACATTCCCACCAGCAACATACAAGAGTCTGGGTAGCTCAATATCCTTATCATTACTTTATATTGTGAGTCTTTAATTTTAGAGACTCTAGTGGACATATAGTGGCATTCTGTAATTTTAATTTACATTCCCTGAAGACTTATCAATGTGTACTGGTTTTTGGAAGTGCTTGTTGAAACTTTTTGCTCATTTTAAAAATTAAAATTGGGTCCAGGCACAGTGGCTCACAATGGGAATCCCAGTGCTTTGGGAGGCCAAAGCAGGAAGATCTCTTTAGCCCAGGAGTTCAAGGCTGCAGTGAGCTATGATCGCACCACTGCACGCCGGCCTGGACAAGAGTGAGATCCTGTCTCAAAATAATAATTTGTTTGTATTTTTCTGATTATATTGTAGAATTTCTTTGTATAATGTGGAATTGATTACTTGTCATATATAAATGTCAATATAGTTTACATGTGTATTATTCTTTTTATAAGTGAGGTTGAACATCTTTTCATTTGGTTAAGATTGTTTTTTTTTTTTTTTTTTTTTTTTTGAGTTGGAGTCTCACTTCATCGCCCAGGCTGGAGTGCAGTGGCACACTCATAGCCTGGCCACCCTAGCATTGACCTGCTGGGCTCAAGCGTTCCTTCCACCTCAGCTTTCCAAGTAGCTGGAACTACAGGTGTACACTACCATGCCCAGCTAATTTTTTTGATTTATTGTAGAGATGAGGTCTCGCTGCCCAGGCGGGTCTCGGACCCGCGGGTTCAGGCAATCACTCACCTCAGCCTCCCAAAGGCGTGGGATTACAGGCTGAGCCACCAAGCCCGGCAGAAAACAGTCTTTATCCTTTGCCCATTTAAAAAAATTATGTTTTTTCTTTCTAAAATGACTAGAAGCTCTCTATATATTGTGGAGATTAGCTTTTTTACTTAATATCAGTGGCAACTTTCTCCCAGATTATAGTTTATTCTTTGTCTTTTCTTATGCAGTTGAATTTATCAGTCTTTTCTTTTGTAATATGTAGTTAGTTTTAAGTTCTATGTCCCCTTGAGTTCCCAAAAGCGATGATGTCTAGCAGCATTGGGCTGAGCCTGCGAAAGAGCCTGAGCTGGTGGGGACAGGGACAAGGGTTAAAGTCCACTTCCCGCTACTTATTAGCTGTGGATCTTTCGGCAGATTTCTTTACCTCTCCTTGGCTCAGTTTTCTTTTCTGTAAAATAGGGATAACAGTGACCACCTTATATAGTTGTTGTCAGAACTAAATGGGATAGTGTATGAAAGCTCTTAGCACATCCTAGCACTGAGTATAAATCCTCTGTGGAAGGTGCCTGTCTGCTCTAAGGGATGTGTGTATGCAACAGGTGTAAACAAATCGTGTGCGTGTGTGCGAGTGAGTGGGAGGAGGCAGGGCCCGGGTGTGGGATACAGCACATGGTTGGCTCAATTACTCATGACTTCAAAGTTCAAAAGCTGCTCCAAGTATTTGCAGATCCCAGGATCATTCCAAATCTCACAGCCTGGCTCCAGGCCAGAACCCTCCTTGTCCACCCTCCTCCACTGCTGGCTGAAGTCTGTCTCTCTCAGTCCCTCCCCAGATAGCCCGAGGGTGCCCAGATGATCTGGGGCTCCAGGGTGGTCCCGAAGGGCAGAGACTGAGAGTGTGGTGGCCTGCAAAACTTTCTGGAGATCCCCATCCAGGCTGCTTGCCTGCTCCGAGGGCCTCTCGGGTAAGGAGATGAGTCTAGAACCAGTGAGCAGAGGGATTCCTGGCCTGGACCTCTCCCTGTTACACCTTGGTTCGATAAGGGGTGAAAATCTCAAACCCCTCAAGGCACTGGAGTTCACAAAGCAAGTGGGGCTTAATGAAGTGGTGTTTCTGAGAAAGGGTCAGGAATTCCCATTTTTGTACACCCATTCCTGTTCTGGAGCTCTGCGAGAGTTGGCAATTTAAAGGAGTCCTGCTGTGGATTTTCTAAACAGACTAGCCACCTCTTCCTACTGAGCTTTGTAAAGTTGTTTTTCTGTGACTTTGCTAAAGATGGGAGGCACACAGACACCTCCGGGACTAACTGGAAAGTTGGCATGAAGCCAGGCAGGTCTCACTCAGTTTCCCCAGTAGAGTCAGTCAGCAGCTAGGAAAAGACTCATGGGCAGCACATCTAACCACCTACTCCTTCTCCCCTTCAGGAAAATGGATGTCAAGAATAGACATGACTTGCCTGAGGTCACTGCATCAGAAGCAGGTCCAGGCTAAGATCCAGAACCCAGAAACATGCTCTCACCTTCCTTCACATTCTCAGCATCAGATGTAGGGCTTTTAGTGTCATGGGAGCTCAAAGTGATGGTTGACTGGATTCAAACATAGGTTTCCTGATGGCCGATTCGGGACTCTTGCTATACCCCCAAAATGGCACTGGTAAAGATCTATGCAAAGAAATGCCTTGTAAGATCTGTCTTGAGGGTAACTGTGTTAGATT